TTTAGGTAATTTTAATCTAATATCATGCTTTAGTTTTATCATCCCTAAATGAATCCCGTGCCTTCAATTTTTTTAATATTGTAAAAACATAACGTTTTTAATACAAATGAATCTTATAAATATATTAATATTTAAATTTAATTTTTTAATTTTACCTGCCAGACTTATTATTTATCATTCGAGTCTATGATTTAGTGGAGACAAAAATGTAATTAAATCATTTTCTTCATTGGTTAATATAAAGCCTGAATTAAAATTAAACGTCTTATCTTGTCTTATTTTTTTATCTGATAAATATAAGTTTTCACAAATTCCTTACAAAACTCCAAAAAGAAAAACTTGATGTTTTAATGAATTGGGAACATAAACAAGTTCTTTATATCACACTAACAAAGTTAACTACAGCTAAAGAGGTTAGTCCGTTTCTTCTCTATAACCGTCTGATGCTGTATCATATGATTCTTCCAGTCCAAATTTGTGGCAACAACTCTGTGAATCCCTCTCTATGAAGGAGATCTTTCTGAGGGTTCCGGAATATGAAGTCCGAGAATCATGTGACAAAGCCACCATTACGATGCAGTTGGTGCATGGTTTCGGTTGATGTCGGACTTCAGTTTCTTTCTGTGCTTCCGTTTTTTCTGCTTTTCTTTGACCCTCAATTGATCCTTAACGCTTTTCTCCCATTCCTTTCGGCTTTTCGTGTAAAGCAGCATCGCAGCACGAGCATCGTCTACCTTCAAAATGAGAACATATATTAGCTAAGGGCTGTTGTAGCAACATAGATTTAGAGCAAACATATGGGAAGACAGTCCCATGTTTTCCCCTAAACACGTTCGATTAACCAACCAAGTCTAGCGAAACAAGTCGTAATTCCTGAACAACCCGAATATGTTTTAAAATAAGGCCATAATTCTATCAACAAGAGCTATGATTTATTTTATTCATGCTATCTCCATCTTCATGCATAGTAGCTCTATAAATACAAAATAAACCCTTTCTAATTAAGGTATCCACAATATGGATCTTTCAAGAGGGCACTATTCAGCCCCAAGTATTCTTCCGAAGTAAACTACCCTCTCTTGTGATGACCTACGAATAATACGACATAATAGATCCCTGCTTCATTGACATGCTTTGGTCTTCGATAATGAAATACTAAAATGAACAAAATTACCAATCACAAGCCTTTGACTTTCAGCATCTCAGATTTGGATCAGTATCGCCAACAACATTCTAGTAAACAAGTTTAGAGCATAGCAGATCAATTAACCGATTTTATGCATAGTTTCAATGAAATTATTTCATGTTTTCTCAAGGGTTTGGAGAAAAAGAATATAATGAACGTTTTACTTACAGGGCAATGTTCGCCATTCTGGATCTCAACACCTAGAACCTCTGCTGCAAGATGCCGAAGTGCTTTTCTGCGTCCTTCCCTGTTGCAACAACAAACCTTGTTATACAAAGGAACTATAGAAGCTGCTCGACAAACTCAATTGTAATGCAAGCATCCAGGCCATAATAGCTAAGGGATGAAGGATTAATACTTTAGAAAGGGTTGATACTCTGAGGTATCACGCAAGTCCTTCTTAGGATGGGTTAGCAGTAATGCCTGTTGAAAATAAGCCATCCAAATAAAAATCAGTCACTTTTCTACTTCCACAAAAACAAACCAAACAAAAAAACAGATAAGGATAACCTTAAGGTCATTGTGCAAGGCATGACCCACGAGAATACTTCCCTTGATTAACTCTGCCACTTTCTTCTGAACAACCCGAAAATCCTTTGCTGCAGAAAAAAAAGCATTATGTCCAAAAATTCCCTCCCCAACGCAATAAAAGCTTCCCGCACAACACTTAAGCAAATATTTTCAAAACTTATACTATTATTTTTTGATCATGTATTTTGATTCAGATCAAATTACCTCTTTTCATATGAAGTTTATGTTTTATAGGAAACTTTACTTGAAATGATAATGGATATAATAATGCAAAAGGAGAACAACCTCAAAAAGAATTGGAAAAATGGATATGCATAAAGTTGAGACAATGGCTTTTTAAATGCTCCAAGTTTCAGAGCATTGAGTTAACCAGGAAAACAAATTAAAGCCAACCTTTCTTCAAGTCTCGAGGCCGAATGCCACTAATATGTGTGCGGAAGTCAACGACACGTTCTACTGGCCGCACAAACTCATCATATAGGACATTTCTCCATTTATTTACCTGTCATGAACTGAAATACTAAGTAATCAATGACATTAAAAAGTATACCGCATCAAACTCAAAATCTAGATAAATGGCAATGTTTAAATTAACTCAAACTAGAATCTAATTTTCCTCTGCATAAATTACAACTGCATCTTATTTACAAACAAAAAACGACAAAGTTGGGAATTTAAGAATGTGCAAAAGTAACATATTACAAATGCAATTGCCCCTTAACATGAGAGCATTTACACAACGTTAGATATTATTGTTATTCTTAAAACTGTAGGAATAACAATTCCAAAATAAGAAGGCCAAAATAGAAGTTTATTTTATATATTTGTCTATCACTCTATCTCATGTAGAATTCCGACCATGGGTAATGTAAGATCATAAAACGTGACCAGTAAGATTCAAAGATCCAAGGAGAACAAAATTACCAGCGTAACTCGTCCAAGAGCACTCTTGTTCCCCTGACCAACACCAACCATTTCACAATCCATAGCTAGCACATCTGTCACACTGTCATAATATTGATGAGTCATTCAAAGAGGTACATATGTGTGGAGACAGATACACAGATAAAAGACCCCATCACAACAACTCAAATGAAGGAAGAATGGAATTTCTAGCAGTGTTCTATTGTACATCAAAATCACATTTTCACACCATAGATTGGCATTTCTATCCCAGGCGTTAAAGTTAGTGCAACATCTCTATTCCTTAATATAAACTAAAATATAAGAACCAAAACGACATTCTTCTACCTCCTTGCTTGATACCTTAGAGAATAGACCATAAGAGAGGGGATAACATCAAACTCTAAATACTCAATATTTGACCGTTAAACAACAGATATGTGGCCAAAAAGAAATCATGCATATTGGCCAACAAAAGTTTAAAAAATGTTTGCATGTTGTGTCGATAACCTGAACCACTCGACATCACTGGGAAATTCATGTTAGGGTTGATCCATATTTACAATTGTTTAACTAAACATTACACTTAACCAATCCCATTGCTTTATTTTCCATTCAAATCATCTCCATAATCATGTTAAACAGAAAAATTCATGGTAAATTGGTACAATTACAGATGCTATAAAACAATAAAGTACGATAAACAATATGAAACTTCACAATGGTTTGATGATTTTTGAAGCATCGGAAAACAAGTAAAGCACCTGGAATCATCATTTGTTGGGATTAAAGGATTAGGCTTAGCATCATCAGGGTCTGAATTTGGTCTCTCCTTACGTTTTCCTATAAACAAAACAATCCCACGCAATGTATACAAAACAAAAACTGGCACGAAAAGAACCAATAATTAATATAATTTTCTCAACTTGAACTAAAAAAAAACCTACATTTTATTTCTTTTTCTCCAAACCAGTGCAAAATAAACAAAAATTGCAAGTAATTTACCTAATATAGAGTTTGGGGTTTCAGATTGTAGGTTATTGGAATGCCTTGAAGGCTTAGCAGAGGATTTCAGCTTCTGCAAGTGAATCAAAGGCAAAGGATTTTGTACAAACTTTTCAAAAAAATAAAAAGGAAAATATTAGGAAAAAAGTACTTGTTGGAGTTGAACCCAGTTTGGGTTAAGCTGAAAGTGCTTTGGGTTTTTCTTCGCTTCACTGCTCATTTTCTTCTTCTGCAGCTGCTGCTGCTCTAGGCGTTAGTCAACTTCAGGGACGTGAAGGAACTGAAGTAACCTAACTACGCTTTCGTATATAAAATTCGACGTCGTTTTAGAACTTCATGCCCCGGGTTTAAGACATAAAAAAGAAGGGTTAATGCCTTTTTATTTATTTATTTATTTAAATTTGAGCTCATAACAAATTTTAGGGGGAAAACATTTAAGGGAATTTTTATAACAAATAATGACAATAATAGTTAAAATTTTCCATGAATCTATTTTTCTATATCTTATTTCGATGAAATCATGTTGGAATTAATTCCAAAACTTATATTATTATTTAACTAATATTTAAATAATTAATAAATATACATTTTATGATATCTTTAATTAACATTAATTCCATCTAAATCTACCTATTTTTTAAAAAAATACAATATACCATATATTATCAAATGATTAAAATTTATACATTAAAAATACAATATAAGTTAAATATATTGAATTAGTATTATAAATTAATTAATATTTTATTAAATAATAATTTGTGTTTAAAATTTTGTAATTTTTTTATAATTTTCTAATCAAGTATCCTCAAACAAAATGTGTATACAAGTTTAAAAGTAAAGGCATCAGAATTTATAAAAATAAATTATAAAATGATTTAAATGTAATTATAGGGTTGGGCACGGGGCACGAATCAGATGGGTTCCGACTCGATCGGGTCGGGTTTTTAAAAAAAATTCAAGTTCGGGTCAGGTCGAGTCGGATTTTTTAAGTGTGATGTTCGGGTAGGGTGGGGTCGCGTTTAGGGTAAAAAAAATATCTGATTCGACCCGACCCGAAAAAATATATAATTTTATCTTATATATTTAGGAATAATTACAATAATACCTCTCTATATATACTTTTTTTCAATTAAGTCATTATTTTTATTGAATAAAAATAATATTTTTTTTATTATTTCGGGTCGGATCGGAGCGGGTTTCTAAGTTATATGTCGGGTCGAGTGAAATTTTATTTTGATCGAGTTGGGTCTCAGGTGGAGGATCCTTTATTCTCGAATCAGATCGAATAAATAAAAACCCGACCCATGCCCATCTCTACATCCCTATGTAATTATACTATAAAATAATATTCATTCAAAATTTGCCGTATAAATAAAAAAAATCCCTTGCGGACACTCTCCTTCAGGTCCTCCTTCCTTCTTTTCTGTTTGCAATCAGAAACACGGGAAAAAGATAAAAAAATGGGCAGAGGAAAATTCAAGGGCAAACCCACCGGCCACCGCCATTTCTCAACTCCGGAAGAACTCCGTATTAACATTCTCTCTATTTTCAATTTCTACGTATTTATCTTGTTTTTTTTCTATTGGCATGCATGTAATTCTACGTATTTGTATGCACTTTCCTAGTATCAGATCTATATCAATCTTTCAACTGCCGCATCAGTAGCTCAAGCGTATTGTTTTTTTTAATACAATCCGTTTTCTGTGTGAAATTTAGATGCTACATAGAGAAAATAGAGAGCTGTGTTTAGAGGCAAAAATACTAAATATGTTCTAAATTGTTGTATTTTTTTGTGTTTTATAAGTTTTATTATTGATCTTTCTGTGTTTTTCTTTTAATGTTTTAATGGTAGGTGCTGGTAGCTCAGCTAGGCCCCGTACTTTTAGGAAGGTGAGATTTTTATGCTAGTTTTTAACATAATCTATTCGCTCATGGTAGTAAAAGTTGAGGAATTACTTATATGGTGGAATTAGCTTTTGATCATTAATAGTTTATGGTAACTTATTCGTTGTTATCATGTATTTCTTGCTATATATTGCTTGAAAAGAGATTTTTTTAATCTTGATATCGATTCTTGTGAAGAAGGTAATACTTCTTGCATTACTTTTGACAACCCAAAGTTGACGCTTTCTTTGAATTTGGCAAGTTATGTGCCTTTTATGTTCACATGTAGGATGAATGACAACTTGAATGCAGTAAATTTCATGGATTTTGGTTGTTTGGGTTGTTTTAAATCAAGTTCTTGCATCATCGTTTATATTTTACTGTAAGAGAGAGTCTGGAATTGGACTCTATATGTTAAGACATTTGTTTTTTACATTGTGTATTGGTTAGAGATTTTGAATTTGGCATATAGAAAAGAGTGCATAATGTTTGGTTGCGATAGATTATCAGTTAAGTTTGACGATGTCCCCCCCACTTTATTTTCTAATCTTTAAAATCAGTTCTCTCGAGTGTTCAAATGGAAACATTATTTTATTTAGTAAATATCTGCTTTGCTATGGTTCTCTCTCTCTTCCCTTATGAATGTGATTGCTTTCTTTTTTTTTATTTTTGTATTTTAATTCACTTGTTAAATAGGATGGCATATTTCATTCTAGGAAGAAGCTGAAGTGGAGGAAGTAGAACAAGAAGAGTCTGAAGAGGAAATAGAAGAAGAGCCTGAGGTAATTATTTTGTGCGCTTCTTTCATCTAATGATAATGATATTAGTTCCATATGCATTAAGTACCTTTTATTCTTCATATTATTGGTGTTATTATTGGCAGAAACGGAAAGGGACCCAAGGGCTTATTCAGATTGAGAATCCAAATTTAGCTAAACCAAAGAATGTCAAAGCTAAAGATATTGATGTAAGTTGTATATGAATACTCCTCTGTTGCATTAAGTCTATATTACTCTTATAAACTGATGCGTGGCTAGTAACTGAATTGAGTATTGACTATTGAGACTTTATCTTCCAGATGGGAAAAGCGACTGAACTATCAAGGCGTGAAAGGTTTGTAATTCTCTTTGTTCCTCAAGTCTGACTGATCAATGCTTTATCATTTGCATCTCGGCCATTTTTGTTACTTAATAATTTTACCGGTTTTAACCAAACAGCATTTTCTTAAGTGTTAGCTTATCTGTTATGCCTTGAAAAATATAGATTTTCTCATGTTTTATTTATAGTTTAACATTTCTATATGATGGTCCAGTTTTAATTTGATGAAGCATTGTAACTCTTTCATCTTTGTTCAATCTAGGATTAATACAAAGAGTGCTTTGTTTAGTTGAGTTTTTCTGGTAACATTGAGGGTGAAAAGGTAATAAGCTTAGGGCATTGAATATTTGAATTTGGTTCTTTCTTGGCAAGAGAAAGAACTTCTACTACTAACGAAATTCCATTGTGGATATGCTTCATGCCTAAATCCTTCTCGGTAACCCTACCAACTGTGAGGATAGATATTTGTTGCTCAACGTTAAAATTATGTACCATGCACCTTTAACTACAGACTATAGTTTCTATATAAACTTATTGAATTATAACATTTTTTATAAGAATAGGAGGCCTCGTTAAAAACCCCTTCTTAGCTGTCCGTTCTTCAAAAGGAGAACAAACAATCAGCGGAAGGACGAAAAGAGTGTCTCAATTTTATTCAAATAAAGGTTTAAATACCCAGCATTACAACCAGAAACATTGCAATTACCCCATTACAAAAACAAAACCCCACTCTCAAATATCTCTATCCTCACATCACCCAATCCCTTTCTTAGCCAGTTCATCGGCTTCCCAATTAGCACTTTTTATAATCAGCCTACATATCACATCTTTAGCTAAAACCAAGTATCTAATTTCCCTAACAATACATTCATAACGTGGAGGACAAGAATTTTTAATCCAATCTAAAGCTACCGAGCAAAATCACATACCAAAATAGGACGACCTAGCGAAACCCAATCTGAATCCAAGAATAGTTTCAACCCCGCTTTGATCGCCTTCAATTCAGCTAGAATAGGAGGACATGGACCCATAGAATCAGAAAAAAAAGAGGCGTACAGCTGTTCGAATCCCTTAACAGACCACCAATGCCCCCTTCCTCCAATCACTTACTACTGCCCCATCTACATTAACCTTAAAAAAGCCTTCGGGAGGGGGAGTCCAACAAGCTATTTTCGCTTTTAATTTCCGAGGGAAAGTCAACGAGTCTGCCAAACAAGGATCACCAGACAGGGAATCCAATGAAACAGCCGAATCCGGATGCTTAGCTAAAAACCAAGCCGCCAATCTGAATCTTGTTAAGAAAGACAAATGGAGACTATCAAAGGAGCCATTCTCAAATACAATATTGTTTCTAACTTTTCACACAGACCACAAAACAGCTCCTGGAATAAATTTCCAGATTATGAAATTTGGGACACATTCCATAAACGGAGGAAAAGGCTCCACAACTCCGAAACAGCTTTGCATTTGATAAACAAATGATTCGCAGATTCTGGGGACAGCTTACACAGAGGGCATACATTGTCCGACTCATCCAACACCCATCTTTTCGCCAGCTCAGCTCTGACTGCAACCCTTGGAGGAGCTAATCCTTTCCAAACATATCTATCCCGGCTCTTTTCATTGTTTCCTTTGTAAGTCATTAACTTCATACAAGACTTTACCGTGTAAACGCCTTCTCCACTCCCATTCCACATCACTAGGTCATCCTCGGAAACAGCAAGATTAATCATACTTAAATCTGACATCAATTCGATCCAAATATCCAATTCCCAATCGGCAAGGTTCCATCTCAATTTAATATCCTAGACACCCAACCTGATGAGCAAACAGATCCGAACTCTGCCACCTTGCCCTCTTTATTAGTGGACAGTGCATAAAGCCTCGGATATTTGGTCCTCAATGGAACATCGAAAAGCCATTTATCATGCCAAAAGGAGATCGTATCCCCCCTTCCAACTTTATGCTGAAAATGAGACCGAAGGCAGTCCACAAAAGTGTCCTCCTTGGTAATATTGTTAACCATTCCCCTCAACATCTAAGAGGCTTGGGGATGATTGACCTTAGAAATTGTCAATTCCTTATTATCTAAATTATACGTGCAACACAATACCCTCTTCAACCATGAATCCCTCTCAAACCCAAACTTCCAGACCCATTTCCCAAGTAAAGCCCTGTTCATGAGGTTTTTGTCTGGAACTCCCAACCCACCTTCCTCTCTTGGCGAACAAACAGAATCCCAATTAATCCAATAAATTCGTTTGGATTCTTCCCCGCCACCCAAAGAAACCTTTCTAAAAATGAATTAATTTTCTGTACACAGTCAATGGCATCGAGAAAATTGATAAAAAGTACATAGGAAATGCAGATAACACAGACTTTACCAACACCAGTCTGCCTGCAGCTGATAATGAGGGTGCTTTCTAGCCCGCGGACGACAGGATCCCATAAGGCAACTGAATTTCTCTTCGCACCTAGGGGTAAACCCAAATACTCCGATGGAAAAGAACACACCTTGCAACCAATAGAGGGCCTTCATTCTTCATGTACTGACTCAGCCACATTAATCCCCATTAATTTGCTCTTACTACCATTTAGTTGCATCCCCATCATAAGCTAAAATGCGAAGGACTCTTCTGAGTTTTTTATTTGAGTAGTCGATGCGCTGCAAAAAATAATTAAATCGTTAGCGAACTGTAAATGAGACAACATAAAAGAATTCTCCACCCCGCCAATCCAAAAGCCATTAAACAATCCTAAGTTGACAGCCTTTGTCAGCAGTAAATTAAGTAATTCCCCAACCATATTGAATAAAAGGGGGGCAACGCACAACCCTGTCTTAAACCTTTAGCTAAACGAAACTCTACCGTCGGAGCACCATTGATTTAAACAGAAATCGAGGCTGTTGAGACACAGATTAATTCATGATCTCCACCGGTCTCCAAAGCCCATCTCATCCATAATTCTTAATAGAATTGGCCATTCAACAGAGTCATAGGCTCTTCTAAAATCAACTTTGAAACTACCCTTGAAGCCCCCTTTTTTCTCCAATAATCAATCCCTTCATTGGCTATAAAAATACAATCCAGAATCTGTCTACCTGGGGTAAAGATGAATTGAGAAGGGCCAATTATGGAGTCCATACAATCCCTCAATCTTCTAACAAGGACCTTTGAAAGAATTTTATATAAACCCCCAACTAAACTTATTGGTCGATAGTCTTCCAAGCATTCCGGACATGCTTTCTTTGGAACAAGAGTTATGAAGGTGTGATTAATACCATGCTCCCACATTTTCCCTTCATAAAAATCCATGAAGAAATTCATAATTGGAGCTTTCAAATTAGACCATAATTTTTCAAAGAATCCCATATTCAACCCATCTGCCCCCTGCGCTTTATTACTGTCGGATGTATTTATAGCTTCCCATACTTCCTCTTCAGAAAATTCCCTTTCCATGAGATCTTTCTGCACATCCATGAGATCTTTCTGCACATCGGACAGCCTGGAGAAGTTCACATTCACATCCTCAACAGCTAGAGAAGATATCGAGTTAAAAGCTTCTTTGAAAAAGTCTCAAACGCTGCTCTTAATTTTGGCCAGTTTGGTGACGCTTTCCCTATTAATCTTCAAACTTCTAATGGTATTAGCCCTTTTCCTACCCAACGCATACAAATGAAAATATTTAGAATTCCTATCCCCATATTTGATCCATTTCACCCTCGAGTTTTGGTGCCAAATGCTCTCCTCGATTCTATATAGGTTCCAAAGGTCTTCCCTGCACTTAATCAGATCATCCCATCTGCTTTGAGCACTCACCTCCTGAAGCTGAGAGTTTTCCAAATCATTAATTTTTCTCTCACTCACTGATGGCCACTTTCAGATCTGAAAGCTTATTGCCCGGCCACTTTTTTATTTATTTTTAGTATCTCTGAGGATGCTTAAGATGTTCCTCCCTTTATACTTATCAGTCAAATGAGAAATAGACGAATCCACCATTTCCACAAAACCATTCTCCTCCGGTAAGTAATTAAAAAATCTAAAGGGTTTGGACCCCAGTTAATCCATTCATTCTCCAATACAATGGCATTGTGATCCAATAAATACCTCGGCAGAAGTGCTTGCATAATATCTGAAAAAGCCCCCAAATAAGAAACACTTGCCATGAAACGGTCAAGCCTAACAAAGGTAGGCTCCTCTCTGTTATTACACCATGTGGATCTCCTCCCAATAAGCGGTAGATCCACTAATTCGGCTTGATGAATGAAATCCGTAAGCAATTCCATGCTCTGCGAGTTCTGATAAGCCCCAATTTTCTCCTTTAGAGACAAATATACATTGAAGTCACCTCGCACACGAGAATATCCAGCCCCTCACAAAAAGACAGTAGATCTTCAAAAAAGATCTCTTGTCGGAATCAACTGCTGGTCGCCTGGTCCATAAACGTTTATAAGAGCGCACCCAAACTGATTTTCTTTAATTTTCCCCACTAACGCTGTAAACCTGTTGTTTACTACTCTGTTAGATACTTCGAAATAGCTTTCATTCCAGAGACTTAATAGCCCTCCTGTTGCTCCAATCGCCGGTGCAATGCAAAAACCTTGTAACAAATTCCCAGATAACTTTCTTAGCATTGAGAGGTTAATGCTTGGCAGCTTAGTTTCTTGAAGGAACAAAACAGCAGGCTTCTTTCTTGACACCAAACTCCTCACAGCTCTCAATTTTTCCTTCCTCCCTTCCTCCCTAAACCCCTAATATTCCACGATTATACTGAGAAATTCATCATTAAAACAAGAAATTAAAACCTTCGAGAAACGAGAGATTAATGAACTCCCTCCCTCTTCATTTCTCCAAACTAATGACCTTTTCCAGAAAGGTCTTTTTTCCTCCTTAGAAAGAAACTCCCAACAACTTACATACTTCCCAAGTGGCCAACGGTTCTTCAAGATACTCCGAGAAGTAAGAAGATTTGGTTGTAGAAGAACTTACTCCCTGACCCAGTCCTTTGATTTTCACTAGAACACCCACTCACGATGTGTGAATCCCCATTCACATGAGCATTCTCCATGCAATCGTGTTCTGTTTCCCCCACTCGATGCCAAGTGTCTCTGATCATCCACGTTTCCCTCCCCCTGGCTGCCATCTAAATGGACAACACCACCTGCTCTTCCACGGGATATTAGTTTGGCCCACATTCCTAATTTCTCCCATCACAATCTCATTAAAAGAAGGCCCGATCTGTCTTTCATTTAAGATAACATCCACACCACCTACCTCCTTATTAACCTGGGCCTTCTTTTCACCATATTGGGCCACAAGTTCCAAAGAGCCCAAATGAGAGTTATTAACTAACCCAGTTTCCTTCCCCGCCAGAACAGATTCCCCTCTCAACCCCAATCGATTTTTATTCCTTCTCTCTCGCGACCTCGGTCTACAGTACTCTCTCTTAAAAAACCTGCTTTCTGCCCTTCCAACCGGATCACTCCTTGTAGATAGTCGATAAGAATAAGGGGACGGCGATCTCCTCCAAAGAAGGTCCCTTGAAAGTGTAATCTGGTTACCATCATTCACCCCAAACTCTATCTTAGACGATAAACTGACTGGCTTCGTAATGTCTCCATCGCCCCTCTTGGTGCCATTCTTCTTAATGTCAACCTTCTCTGTTTCTTTCATTACCTGCTCCACAGGAGAATTGCTCGCTGATCCCTTTCTTTCCCCAAAACAGAGTTGGGCTATATTAATTACAGGCCCCGCAGGTTGAATTCTCTTAATAGGGGTTAAGGGCTCATTAAAATCATCTGATTGGGCCAACCCATCAGAAAATTGACTTCCAAAGACTCTCAACCTTAACCCAGCATACTCCCATTACTCTCCTTGTACCGAGGAATTCTGTCTCCATGTCATTAAAGGCATTCTTCTCTTTTACCTGCGACAATGATTGCTTTCTCATATCACCTTTTGAACTGCCATCTGTCCTCTTTTCTTCGAATAATTCTGGACAGTTTTAATATATAGTTAAAAAAATATTTTATTAGAAATATTAATTTTTTTTAATATTTTTGATAAAACGTTATCTTAAATATTATTTTTTTATTAAAAATATTAATTTCACTAATTACTTTTTAATAAAAAAATAATATTTTAAATAACATTTTACCATAAATATTTAAAAAAATTAATATTTCCGGTAATACATCACTGCCGACCTGAAACATCCCCTTTCCTCAAGCCACGATGAGACCCTATTCAATGATTCTTCCAAACACTGTTCAGTATCCCCTTTGAACCACGTCAACCGACCACTGTCTTGGTCCTCCGGTGACACTCCCTCCTTCCATTCGTCTCTAGTACTAATTAAATCCAGATTGACCTCTGGTTTAACAGTAGCTGATCCAATCTTCTCACCAATCTTGAACGCCCTCCCATCTGCAAGGACAGTGACCATATTGGGAACATCAATGGGACTAACCACTCTCAATGTCATCTTTGCAAACGACAGATCCTTTCTCCACAGAGTCTCATCGTGAATTCCTACCAGTAAACCCCAACGACTCACCAAGGTAGAGAAGAAGGAATCATGCCAACAATTTAACGGGACACCACTTAGTTCAACGGAACACAAAGCCATCGAAACTCCAATCTCCATCACCAACCGATCTATCTGGTCGAACCAATCATATATTGCTTCTTTCTTGTTCAGCCACGCCTCCATCAAGCTTTCCTCCGAGGAAAACATTACTATGCAAGAGTTCCACGCATAACCCTACCTGACTAATCTGACTTCTATTCCATCACTAGTCAGAGCTCTCTGAACAACATCTATCTCAAAATCTGCTTTTATTATTCCAGTTAGAGAAGAGCCTATGATGTACTTAATCGGAGACCATAACCTCAGCTTTTTAACTAAATAATCAACGCTAGTCTAGGCTTTCCTTAGAATTCCTCGTTACCTTTTTGTTGTGGATGCCTATCTCATTATGTTTAACTCAAATTTTAACATCCTTTGAGACAGAATAGTTATAGACTACGGTACTAATTGGAAATGGGCAGGGTATGATAAAATGCTTTACCTTGCCATTTTGGCATGTAATAAGCTACAAGCCTTTTTATTAATTTCATCGAAAATGTTGTCCTTGTGCTTCAAATTATTGTGGTCTTGCTCATGAATCTCCATCTTTTGAAGCCATATCTTCTACTTATCATAAAAATATTTGTTAGCAAGGGAGTGATATACTAAAAAATGTAATTCTATATTTGAACTGTTTATTTCCTTTAGACCAGCTAAGCTTGTGTGCTTATCTATTTTTACTGCAGAGAGGAGATAGAAAAGCAAAAGGCACATGAACGATATATGAAGCTGCAGGAACAAGGGAAAACTGAGCAATCAAGAAAAGATTTAGGTAACTAGTGGACAACTACATTATTCCCAGTACTTATCTCCCTTAATCAAATTTATACTGTACTGAAAACTAAATTGAGCGTTTATTAAGTTTCCAAGGACTTCTGATAGCCCTGTCAAATATCATTATAATTCAATAGAACATGGCTTTTTCTAACCTCTCCATGGGACTTTTTGGTTGTCTGGGAATAATTGAAGATATATTGGTAAGGTTGAAATTATGTTCATTGACATGGTGCTAAAGAAGGGAGATGAAAATAATGATATTAACTCATCTCCTTTTTGAGTCATTATAGGGAGTGATAATGTATGACGAGTGTAAAATAATCCTCCATATAAGTGATGCAAATGATGATGTGATTTTTGTAAACACTGGTTGAAGATCATTGTCCATGGACCTAAATAGTTACAAAGGAGCATTCAGGAGTTGACGAAAGACTGCTATTTAATTGCGGATGAGAGTATTTATGTGAAATGTGAGGTGTGCGTGTTTCTATGAGGTTCTACACATATAGGATCTTCCCCGTTCTTTTCTGTTTGAACTGGTTTCTCTGCCATAAGTGTTTTATTCTGATGTAGAATATTATATTCTTTAATGATGATGGAAAATTGCACCAAATCAAAAAATTGAAGATCGAAAGTACCTTGTCAGTTAGGTGTCAGAACTGCTTTTATTTTCTTGCCACAAGTCTTTTGTGGAATGGAGGTATTGAGAAGAATGCTGGTTTTTATGTATGATGCAACGGAATTGGTTTCTTCTATTCCATGAGTTTGTTAGGTTAATCTTGATACAGCTTATCTGGTTTCTTCTATTCTGTATGAGTTCGTTGGAATAATCTCAAGGGCACATCTTATGCATTCTCTAATGATTGCACCCTATCATGTTTCACCATTGGCTGTTTACATTATTTTATTCGATTGTTTTATTGAATTTGAATTAATTACTATTGCAGAGCGCTTAGCCATGATTAGGCAACAGAGAGCAGAGGCTGCTAAGAAGAGAGAAGAAGAGAAGGCTGGTATGGTTTTATATTATATTGCATGGCTTTTGCACCTCTATTTCAAGTTTCTTTACTGGTTAGTTAAGTATTGGTGCCAAACACCCATGTCCTATACATATTTACAATTTCTATTGAAGCTGATTTTAATTCTATTTGTTCTTGCAGCAAAAGAACAGAAGAAAGTTGAAGCCCGCAAATAAATAGGTTTAGGAATCATAATGTTTATGATCGGTTTACCATCAGATCTCTTGTCTGTTTTATACTAAATTTTTTATCCCATTAAAAGTAAAATACAAACTTATAGACACTATAAATTTCCTAAACTTAATTTCAACTTCTTATCTGCGTTTGGATCTTCTCAAACAACGTGCTGGTTGTTCATGATTCTTAGTGAGGATGCTATGTTACGCTGAGCTTAGAACACATGCCGGCTGATTCAAACAATCAAATACCTTTCTATCCAGTTTTAGCAAGTCCTTTATTTGTGTTTCTTTCCTTAGATGTCGGTCGGTGGCATAGTCACCTCACCGATTGGCTGAGTAGGGATTTGCTATTCTATCATGGCTCGTGGGCTGGAGTAGTTCTTGTTCATCCCATTGTTCAAAATTCCAACATTGATATTACTAGTGGCTAGGGTTTGGAGTTGGTAGTTTGGGGATTCAAATAAGGTTATATGACTGATGGTAAATTTTGGATCTAGGGTTTCTGACTGAGTTAGGTTTAATCTTGTTTAGGCAAAAGTTTCTGAATGGAATGAAAAAAGAAACTTGGTTGACAAGCATGCCGAATTCAAGTACAGGTAAAGCTTACGTGCATGTTTGTATGTGTGTACGTAAAGAAAGAAAGAAAGATAGGGTTTGCGAAGAAGTATCTTAAGCTCCACTCATCCATGAGGTTTCTTGGGGCGGTTGGTTTAGTTTTTAATAATAAATAATAGGGTAAAGTATAGTAATGGTCACTGAACATTTCTGAAACTTGCATTTAGGTCCCCCAACATTTAAAACTTGCAATACAGTCCCTCAACATTTATTCCGTTTGCAATATGGTCCCCCAACTTAAACCACAGTTAGAAAATTAGGATAAATTATATAAACGGTCATTGAACTTTTCAGTCACTTGAATTTCGGTCCCCCAACTTTTAAAACTTGCAAAACAGTCATCAATTTCATTCTAAACCCCAATTTCCAAAGTAATTCAATTTTATTCTAAACCCTAAATTCTAAAATACTTCAATTAAATTCTAAAATACTTCAATTTAAGGTAATATAGGCTTGAAGAAAGAGTTCAAGGCACAGACACAACGAATAAAAATATATTATATAAATATATATTTAGATGTATAAATAAAAATATATTCATATATTAATGTATGAATCATTTATATTTTTTGAATATTTTATTTTTAATAAGAAATTAAAATTATTAATTATATTAGAAATACTCAACTTAAGATTATATATAATCATGAATTATAAATATGAAAATATAATTATTAAATTTAGTTTAAAAATATATAAATCTTAAATTTATTCTTTTAAAATATTGTATCAACTAATATTTAAAAAATATATTAAATCTATCAAACAATTTATCAAATATAATATTTTTTTATTGTAAAAATATAATATTTTCCCATCATTTATTGCTTTCAAATTTTGCCGAAGTTCAAATCTCATTATTTCCATTTTACATTATATTCTTTTTTTTCTGGCATTGGTCATACTATTAGTATATGTATTATTGTATATCTCTTAACACAAACGATGGTGTTAGCTTAGTGGCTCCACCCTATATCTTTCATTTGCGTGACTCAGGTTTGAGTTTGCCCAAGACCCAAATTTTACTTCTTTGTAACTTAATTTTCTTCTAATTAGGAGATGACATGTGTCACCAATAACACATATCACGATCATGTGTTAACACATGTCAGATCCTGATTAAATGATTAATTTATTAAATTTTATTTAATTTAGGACCAAATTGATAGCATATATAAATAATTAGGTGGTAACACGTGTCACCAATGACACGTGTCATGATCATGTGCTAACACATGTCAGATCTTAATTAAATGATTAATTTATTAAATTTTATTTAATTTAGGACCAAATTGATTATATAAATAATAAAGACCGAATGTATAATAATGTCAATTCCTTTTAACTGCCACATCATCATTTTTATCAATTGGTAACGACTAGTGGCTTAGTTGAAACAGTTAAATAATTATGTGGTATGATTGATAAATTTAAAAGATCGATGAAAAAAGTAAAAAGGGCTAGATAGTTAAGTTGTCAACCGAGTAGTTTACACTTTTATTTATACGTCAAAATAACATTTTATAAATTTAAAATTCGAATTATTTTCAACCTCTTTTATATCCTAACTACTTTTTTTAATTAAAAAATTTCTTCAACAGATAAGAATTATACTATTATATTTATATAAAAAATACGTATCACATGAAATAAGATGAAATTAAATAATAATAACTTTGACATAATTGAATTTAATTTAAGTATTTTGGAATTTAGGGTTTAGAATAAAATTGAATTACTTTGGAAATTGGGGTTTAGAATGAAATTGATGATTGTTTTGCAAGTTTTAAAAGTTGGGGGACCTAAATTCAAGTGACTGAAAAGTTCAATGACCATTTATATAATTTATCCTAATTTTCTAACTGTGGTTTAAGTTGGGGGACCATATTGCAAACGGAATAAATGTTGGGGGACTGTATTGCAAGTTTTAAATGTTGGGGGACCTAAATGCAAGCTTCTGAAATGTTCAGTGACCATTACTATACTTTACCCTAAATAATAATGAGATGCTTATTACTGATTCAGATCATTTTGGTTATCAAATTTTAAAGTGGTTTTTATGAGTGTTTTCACTAATGTAAAAATAAAATTTCTAGATCATATAAAATTAAATGAAAAATCGATTTTAGTATATCTTGATTTTTTTTTTATTTTTTTCCCTCAAGTTGTCAAATGATTGGGATTCGGCAAAGTCGAATTCAATAGTAATTAAATTAATATGAAATCAAATGTTATGTTGGAATTGTGTGGTTAAAAGTTTTCAATTAACATCTTTTCTCTTTATTTAGGTTGTGAGTTCAATATCCATGAATAGAAAAATTTAAAATTATTTAAGTGATGAATAAAATGTTAGTTTCCAAAGGGATAATATTGATTGTTCTCTTTGGATAATTTGAGGTTGAACAGTTGTGTCTGTATGACGTATGTGTGTTATTAAATATTGAAAACAATTCTAAACTGTATTATATTGTAATCATATCATACTATTAAAAAATTAGAATATTTATTAGAGGTCGGGTGAAGGGTATATATTTTTGGGTCGGTTCGGGTCGATTGAAGGATGTAAAACTTTTTGGGTTGGGTCGGCCAACCCGACCCATGCCCATCTCTATATGTTGTCACGAGGGGAAAATATGTGTCATTTCATATCGCGGAGCTGGGATCAAAGCATCAATGGACTCTTTAGGTCCAATGTGGCAACCACCTATGTCCAACTTCGGTACTGTGTTTGATATATTGCCACAAACTATAATGGAAAATTCAAGAAGAATGATGAACATCAATTACTTGTGCACATGGGTATGTCACATTTCTTAATTTTATTTTTGTAGAATTTTCTTTTTTTATGGGAACTTAACAGTAAGTACTACATAAATCGCTCAGGTTACGAACTACTACCTCAGACGTTTGAGTCCATGATTTAAAAATTACGAGGAAAAAACGACCAAGGATACAATTATATCAGCCTCATCAACAAAGAAATGTGGACAAATGCATATGATGGTGGATATCGATATGCACACGTGACAACTAACTTGGTTGAGGCTATCAATTTGACCTTAAAAGGGGCGTCATTTACCAGTTACAACTTTGGTTAAAACGACGCATTTTCGTTTGTGAGCATTTTTTGCCAAGTTCGGTGGACAAACTCAAACTTGGATGCAAAGCGGTCATGTTTATCACCCAAGATTAGTTGCAGATCTATAAAAAAAGAATTGTTGCTTCAAATGGAATGTCTATAACTAGCTTCTCTTGAACCTATGAATTATTTCGTGTCGCTGAAATGTCACGACCTCTTAAGGGGATTGAAGCTAACTCGTTCAGAGTTAATTTACAAGACAGGTGGTCTGACTGTGGATTTTTTCAAGCTTTGATGTAACACCCTTAACCCGTATGTGTCTCAATATACGAGTCAAAGATGTCACATCAACTTAAATACATTTATCGAACAGAAATTTTCCTAAAAATTTCTTTCACTTGAAAACACTACTATTTTAACTTTAAAATCTATTTTAAAGTATATCTCAACTATAATTTATTTCTTTGTCACAGGAAAATAAATTCATTTGTAAATCATTAATTTTACTAAACCATGTCTTTTCGTGAAATCTTTTAAAAACATAATAACGTAATATAGTATTTTCATGCATAGATATTGATAAAACTAAACTAAGTAAAATAAACTAAAATAATTCTAGTTTACTATTACAAATTATTTAAAATAAATACAAAAAATAGAAACTACTGATATAATTATACATATCACTACTAGTCAAAAGAAACATCAATGATGTCTTACTGATACTGGTATTATAGATGATCTGTACATGATGCTCGGAAAGCTCCACATAAAACGTTTGTATCTCAATCGGACCCTACACATGAAAATCATCACGCGCTAAGTATAACTTAGTGAGGCAGTAATAATCTAAGGTGAGAAAATTTAAAAATATCATAAACATAAATAAAATAATTCGAATTAAAACATTAACGTGACAAACCAATTTTTCCAAGTCGATTTCTTCACTTAGGCCTGAAATTTCTTTTTAAATCATGAACTCATGAAAATTCTGATAAATCATATCTGATAAAATAAGCATATCATGCTTTCTGTCAACTGAAAATCATTCACCACTTGCATATTCATTTTCATAGCTCAATGCATATATATGAGAAAATAAGATACGTGAATAAGGTGCGCACTATGCACAACACAGTGCAAATTGTAACTGATACTAAGATATGATGCACTTCAATGCCATCATAACCTGAATAAGTACCAACGGTGTTGGACATTGATACACGAATGTATTAAAGCTGATAATGGATAAATACTTAGCTAATGGCATGTCAAGTGTACCAACAAAACAGTTCTCACTATAACACAC